GACGTGTCGTTTGGGTTTTTTTGTTTCTGGTTTGTTTGTTTGTTTTTTTTTCCAGAAGGTAATAAATGAATTGTCATCTCAACATTTGTTTGGTAAAAGAAGCAAATTGGTATAAAACTGTATATTTATGCATGTTTGTTTTTGTTTTTTTTTTTTCCTTTCTGATATCTCTGCCTCTTCCTCTCTCTATTATTAAAGGAAGAAATGCCCCTGGGAAGCCAGTGAGAGAGGTTAGTGAGATTCAGGCTCACGGCCATGGCTTCTGTCTGTCTCATCCTGCTTTCTATGTTTGGCGTTTGTGTAAGAATTGTGTGCGTGCCCGCGCATGTGTGTATTACACATTGTGTCATCATGTAAGGACGGTAGTCACCTCTCCACTTGCAGCTCATGAGGAACATTCCCCAAATGTTCATTTCTGTTGTCATCACCATGACGACAGGACCCAGGGGTTGGGGGAGCAGGAATCTCTTCAAAATAGTAATCCTTTGTAGTCCCTAGGTTGGAATTCTGCAATTCATCATCTGTTGCCATTTGCAACAAAAACAAAATTTTCTCAATAAATTTAGCTTTGAACATAATTGATGAGTCATAAAGCTTCCTTCCACTTCCAGCGTCTTAGCATTTTCTGCCAGTGCCCTTGGTTTTTATTCTTCTGGGATGACTTCATTTTGTTTTTGTTTTCTTTTTTCCTGGTGCCTACACTCTTTATTTCCCATTTTAGCTAGCATTTTTTGAGCTCTTACTGTGTGCCAAGCACTTTTGAGCACTTGCCATCTTTTTCATCATGTAATCTTCATGACAAACCTATGAGGTAGGTACTTTTATTAATCCCATTTTACAGATAAGGATACTGGTCCAATGAGAGGGTAAGCAGTGTGTCCAAGGTGACAGAGCCAGGATTTGAATCCAGGCAGTCTGGCTTCAAAACAACATTCTTAAAGTCTTATGTGATACTGCTACTTTAGAAAATGGCATTTGAAAACCTTATGTCATCTTAACTTCCCTTTGGAAGACTCTCTTTTTTATTTGGCATTTGGAGCCAGATAGAACAATAACCAGTTAGGTAAAAAAATTGAAGGTTGGAGTTTTGAAGAAGTTTTTATGCCTATTTATGGGTTGGAAGGGGTAGGATGCAACATTATGTTGCATACGGTTGGGGTTTTACAGTGGAAGCTCCTTCTTACTCATATTCTACCAGGAATATTTTCTGGACACTGAATTACCTAATCAAGTGACTGTTGGATGACAAAATGTTGAGTGACTGCCCAAGTGAAACAAGATCATCCTTACCAAGAGTTTAATGTGAAGGAGAGGAGAAGGAGAACTCTTGCATGGGATGGCAATAGTATGCACTATTCTGAGAGACAGGGTGATGGGTGAAGAGTGTTTCTTACGTGAGAAGATTCTGGATCTATAGCAACAGGATGAACTACAGTGGCCACCGATTTATTTAAACATAAGGAGTTATACTGGAAATTTTGCCAACACTGTTTCATGCAATCTGATTAATTTAATGATCCTTCAATATGTCTACACTAGTGCTCCCTTCCAAGGTTATGGGCAGTGGGGTCCCAGGGAGGGAGTGGTAGGCTGGGAGGAGAAATTGAGGAAACCTGAATTGGTGAAGCCGTGAATGCTCCTGACGGTTTGCCCGGCTCATGTCCTTCATATGTGAGACTTCTTGGGTTCATTCTTATGGTAAGTGCCCCTTAAAATTTATTTTAACTTTCTGTAAAAAAAACTGCACCATAATTTTGACTACCCTGAACATGTTTTGTTCATGAACAAATTTTAGAAAAGGCCAGCACACATAATTGAAGTCATATAGGCATTTGGAAACTTTCCTACCTGAGGTGAATTATAGCCAGGTAAGTTTCCAGAAGCCAGAGAATCGAAACAATAGTGACTTTTTAATGCTATGAAAATCCCTCAAATGTACAGTAGACCAGATTTTTTTTTAAAAAAAAAGATTATAGAGAAGAAAAGAAAATGTCACTGCAGTGTTCTGACTTTGGCCAATTGAATGCTAATCATTTATTTGGGAATTGTATTTACAAAAAAAATAAAATAAAATAAGAGTGCCAGATTGCTATTGAGGTCTTGGATCTTTACCAGAAAGTCTGACTTCCAATCACTGTGGAAAACAACTCCCTTAGGCAGTGGTGGCGTGTGAGACTAAATGTGTTGCAGTTAGCGCCAACTCGGAAAAACATACAACTTCCCTAATGTTCAACGCATAGTCCCTTTGTGTTCAATAATCCTTGCCTAAGAGTAGATTAAATTAATACTTTCTGTAGACATATTTTTGTATCAACTTGTGCCTGAAGCTGATTGCAAACCCCTGAATCCTGGCTGCGTTTCAGAGCCACTTATAGCATGGGATTGTAATTTTGATTTGAGAAAAATCTGTCAGGTGAAATTAATGATTATAGCATGGGATTGTGATTTTGATTTGAGAAAAATCTGTCAGGTGAAATTAATGACCTCACTCATGCTCTGCCTTACACACATGGATAATAGAACCAGCATACAAATCTATTTTCTGGATCCATGTCACAGTGCAGTTTTCTCTCCAATGGATTGAGGTATGATTCTTTGGGGTAGAATTTTGTTAAAGAGATAGAATATTTTCTGCATCCAATAAAAATCTCCATGAAAAAAATTAGAATTGTTATTCTGGCGAAATGGGTATTTGTAAACAAAGGAATCAAAGGCATAATATAGATATGGTGAGGCAACTCTAAAGGTTCTTCATTTTTATAGCATACGTATGGCCACGAGCTCATTTGTGAAAATTTAACAGTTGAAACAGGTTCAAGGCCACCTAACATTTTGTGGGAGTGTGTGTGGTATATTAAAAATAATGAACCTCTGTTTTCCCTGGCAGATTTTTAAATAGCAGATACCACTAGAATTCATGCCTCTTGAGAGACTCAAGAATTTTCCTTCCAGATAGTAACTGAGCACCATTTCAAGGAACAGAAGCAGCAGTTGGCTGTATGATCTATAAATGCATTGATCCCCTAGCACATAGTCTAAAAGGGCACTCTTTGATTATCAATAAGCTGACAGGAAAAAATGACTTCTTACCTTCTTTGTTTATGTTTTGTAATACATTTTCTAGCTACCAGGTGGACTATACCGTAGTCAGATGTGGGTTATGAGAAATAGTTTGGATTATATTCAGGTATCAGGTTGTAAGGGTCTTGGGTTTTGTTTTCACTGGCTTTGTTAATAGCTAGTAAGATGGCTAGTAATTAAACATTTGCAGTTAGTGCATCCATTTTCAATTATGCATGAATAATTGGGCAGATTTCCCAGGGTTGGTGGGCAATCAAAAATAGATACAGGGGAAGAAGCCCTCCAACCTGATAGCATCAGTTATATATTTGTACTCTGGGCTCTAAGGAGCAGCAAAGAACCCACTGTGTCTCCTTGTGGTTTCTATAGCATAGAAAAGCCAAAAGTGATATCAGTTCTTCAACTGAGGGCTGCCAAAGTATTGGCCCACTTTATGAATAGTACCTATGCTTTGTTAAAAGCTTTTATATTTACAGTCTCAACCAAAATCCAAAGTGATTTTTTAAAATAGAATTAGTTCTCACTGATACTCTTTGCACTAAAAAGATTTACAAACTTGGTCACCTTAATATAAATGCCCGAATGGCATTAAACTTTTAATAAGTCTCAAATTAATCTGGTGCCATCACTGTTGGAGTGTCTGCCCATGAATCCTCTTCAGATCCTCTCATATTTTTAAAAAATGATATGTCTCTTGAAATAAATATTATAAGAGACATAATACCTGCCCTTGTCTATCTTTAATTTTTATTGGGATTTTAACAATTATGGGAATCTGTAAAGTTGATACATGGCAAGGTAGTAATAGCCTAGTAAAGCATTTCAGTTCCAAAGGCAGTACCTGAATAGTGGGATGATTCACCAATGTCCCAAGAATTAAAATTAGCCATATAAAATATGGGACATACAAGATGAAAAGGCAAACCATAAAGTATGTCTCAGATTATCTTACTTTAGATCTGAATGTTGCTACAAAGTACCCAGGGACATCGTGTGGCTCTTGTGCTACTTGCTAGGGGATTAATGCAAGGTCATGCCACATTATTATTAAAAGGCTATTCTGATAGTTAACCCGCATTTAGGAAGAGATCAAAGACGGATTCACAGGGTACCCAAATTCATGCAATACATGTGGGTCATATTATAATTAGGCTCTAGAGTAATTTGGAATGAAAAGTGATTTTTATTCTGAAGCTTCCTAATACAAATGTTAATAGTATATGAAAAGGTCAACTCGAGAGTTTATTTTTCAACCCAAGTAAAAGCAGAGGGAAAACAGTCACCTCCACCATAGCCTCGGAAGTGAGCTCACAGCCTGAAACAAACAGCCTTGAAATGAAGACTTCATGTGGTGGTGATGGTGGTAGGGTGGCAGGAGGGTGGTGGTGGGAGTGGAGGTGGTGGTGATATTGGAGATAATGGTGGTGATGGTGGTGGTAGTTGTAAGGGTAATGGAGGTGGTGGTGATGGTGGTGATAGTTATGGTGGTGGTGGTGGTTTGATAGTAAAAAATGCTAGTACAAGTGGATAGTAAATGATTACTCACAGCAAGGTGTAAAAGGTGTATCCCATCATGAAATATTCCTGTTATGATAGGAATCTTGTACTTATCCATGGAATCCTTTTGATGTATGATATTTTCATTGGGAAGATAAGTGCAGTGTTTGACATTTTTCCATATAAATGGCACCAGTAGCCTGATTCGATATTAAGCTGATACTAACAATGTGTAATGGCTTCATTAACAAGGCTTTGCTTCTTCTGGAAACTGGTGAAAATCAAACCCTGTTGTGTACACCCTCGATGCAGCTTCTGTGTTGTCTTCACCCAGAAATGGGGAATGATTTCCCAAAAAGCAAAGAATGAGGGTGATGATATCTGCACCCTTTGTAAAGTCTGTTTTTCTCTTTGTTTTCCAGGACACAATGTAGGAAGCCTTTTCCACATGGCAGATGATTTGAGCAGAGCGATGGAGTCCTTAGTTTCAGTCATGACAGATGAAGAGGGAGCAGAATAAATGTTTTACAGCTCCTGATCCCCGCATGGTTTTTATAATATTCATACAACAAAGAGGATTAGACAGTAAGAGTTTACAAGAAATAAAATCTATATTTTTGTGAAGGGTAGTGGTACTATACTGTAGATTTCCGTAGTTTCTAAGTCTGTTATTGTTTTGTTAACAATGGCAGGTTTTACACGTCTATGCAATTGTACAAAAAAGTTATAAGAAAACTACATGTAAAATCTTGATAGCTAAATAACTTGCCATTTCTTTATATGGAACGCATTTTGGGTTGTTTAAAAATTTATAACAGTTATAAAGAAAGATTGTAAACTAAAGTGTGCTTTATAAAAAAAAGTTGTTTATAAAAACCCCTAAAAACAAACACATACCCACACGCAGACACACACACAGACACACACAAACTTTGAGGCAACACATTGTTTTGCATCGTTTTAGCGTGATATCCATATGAAATTCATAGCTTTTTTTTCTTTTCTTGAATATTAAATGTAGGACTTGTAACACCGTCAAATGACTACTACACGTTGCTCTTTTGGGAATTGTTGACTGAGTGGGGCTGGCTTTGGGTTTTTGTTTTATACACCTATATGTCTATAAGTATATAAATACTATAGGTATATAGGTAAATAGATATGAATTTCTATAGACCTCTTAAATTTCTTCCAATGTTCCTGCCACTTCCTAATGGAAAGAAATTGCTTCTAGTCAGCCAGGCTTACCTGCTTGGTCTAGAATGAATTTTCCCTGGAGCCTGAAGCCAGGAGGAAACTACCACACTAAAACATTGTCTAGGGCTCCAGATGTTTCTCATTTTAAACTTTCCACTGACAACTAGAGTATTGGATTTTTTTCAAGAGGAACATGTGAATGAATACACAGGACTTATTATATCAGAGTAATCCATTGATATATTCAGCTTCCTGCTGCTGGCAATGCCTTGACTTAGATTTGATGATGCTTTGGTGGAAGTCAGAGCATCAGAAAGCATTTTTAACTCCCAGGCAGTAGGAGGATGATGGTAGAACTGGAGGGTTATGGATTCCCAGCCTATCCCTATGAGGGAGCAGGCCATTCTTGAAGTAAAGGATTGGATGAATGCTCATGACCGTACAGAGTGATCTCCATAATTACAACTAAACAGAAGCGGATGGTTTTGTTGTTGTTTTTTAGATTTTTTTTTTTCCTTTTTGCAATGACTTTTGAAATGCAGATGACTTTTGAAATGCCACAAGACCATTTAAAAGAACATTTGGGGAAATGTGTGAGACAGTAAGTAGCCCCATCGCACTGTATTACTGGTAATATCAGTCCAGAAGCCCATGAACTCTTTTGCACTTCTCTGCAAGTAATTCCACACAGGTTTGTAAGTGGGAAGGCACATTGATTCAAATGTTCCGAAAACTAAAGCTACTCCAAACTCTTTGGTGGATCAGGCAAGTTAAAAACATAAACAGCAATTGCTCCAAAAGAGGAGAAAAACTCAACAGTTTGAAAAGCTAAGGACTGGTAGAAAAAAGCTTTACTCTTTCATGTCGTTTTATTACTCTGGTTTTTCGGTTTTTTGGGTTTTTTTAATCATTCATTCAATAGAAATCACTGTGTGACCTATTATTTTGCAAATCTGTTACCTCTGACTCAAGTGTAATTAACTTTTAGAGTGTGGATTTTGTCCATTATTTCATTCATGATAATTAACATCAAACACAGCTTCTCATGCTATTTCTACCTCACTTTGGTTTTGGGGTGTTCCTGATAATTGTGCACACATGATTTCACAGCTTCACCGCTTGTCTGTTGTGTGATCATTTTTCTCCATTTTCTTTTTTCCCTTATAATTTCTAAAAGAAAACCCAAAGCTCTAAGGTAACAAATTACATGAAGATTTGGTTTTAGTCTTGCATTTTTTTCCTTCGTGTGACGCTGGACTTTTTCATTACCCAAGGATTTTTTTTATTTTTAATCCAGATTTAAAACAAGGGGTTCCTTTACGTCTTACTAAGAAATTTGTTTCATTCTAAAATCAGAGGTAAATAGAGTGCATAATTTTCTTTTAATCTTTTTGTTTTGTTTGATCTTTTAGACATTAGTTCTGGGGTGAGTCTGACAAAATATTTGAATGAAAATTGAGAGCTTTATTGCTGTGTTTTAAGCATAATTTAGACATTATTTTGTGTTCTTTATAACCACCGAGTATTAAACTGTAAATCATAATCAATGTAACTGAAGCATAAACATCACATGGCATGTTATGTCATTGTTTTCAGGTACTGGGTTCTTACTTGAGTATCATAATATATTGTGTTTTAACACCAACACTGTAACATTTACTAATTATTTTTTTAAACTTCAGTTTTACTGCATTTTCACAACATATCAGACTTCACCAAATATATGCCTTACTATTGTATTATATTACTGCTTTACTGTGTATCTCAATAAAGCACGCAGTTATGTTACAAAAAGGTGTTGGACTACAATACTTTGCTTTTACTTTAATTTAGTTATTTAATTTTTAAATAGGTAATACATTTGTATGGTTGAAAAATTAAAAGACAAACAATGAAAAGACTCCCACTCATCCTGTCTCCCACATCATTCCTCACTGCCCTATGAGTAAACGTTATTAATTTCTTGTGTGTTCTTCTGAAGTGTCTTTATTATACAAGCAATTACAACTACTTTTTTTCCTTTTATTTCACAGTAGATAGCATTCTCTGCACCCAGTTATGCATTTCGCTTTTTTAAACTTAAATATTGACTCAGGAGACCTCTTTACTTCAATATATAAAATGTTTTCTCATTTTTTTATAGCTCAGTAATATTCCACTATGTTTGTAGGAGATCTTGTTTAAGCAACTCCCTTTGGTGGGATATGTAGGTTGTTTTTAGTCTTTTGCTATGACAAACAGTACTGCACATCTCTCATTTCATCATTTCACTTGTGCACAAATATATCTGGGGGACACTTTCCTAGAAGTGAGATTGCTGGATCAAAGGGGGTAAGCATTTATAGCTTGGGAGATAAATTTTGTGCAGTGATAGTCATAGTGCTTCAGTTTGATTTTTGTTTTAGTAACAATAAGCATATAAATTAAACCAGTTTGCAATTTACACTTTGCTTCTCAAGAGAATTTCATATCACTTTTATTCTTAATGGTACCACACATAAAGGGATACGTGAGAAGTAAGAGAGGTGCCTAAAATGATGCCTCAGAACTGGTTCTGGGAAGGATACCCCCACCGTAGTCGTGGCCACCACCAGAGGGAGATCCCCCTCCCCCTTACCTGAGCTGCAGAGGAGGCTGGGAAAATGAGTAGCAATCTCAGCTCCTCTAGGGAGAGGCTATCTTTGCCTCCCACCAAAGTTCATGGTGGGGGTCCCCCAACAGGGTTCAGATGCTGGTGGGCCAAAGGAATAGCAAAAGTCCACTAGGCGTGGCCTAGCCTAGTGATTTTGGAAGTAATAGGAGATGGTCAAACTCATTAAGATTAATATTAGTGGGTGTGGCATCTTTGATATGAATTACTTGCTAATCTTTTGAGAGTGGAGTGATGATGCCAACCTAAGTGACTACGACATTGAAAGACTGCCCGTGAAGAATAATTTTCATCCTATTTAAATAAATAATTTTATTCCTCCCACCATTACCCAAACCTGCCTTTGTTTGAAACACCCAGACTAGCTGTTTCAATGGCACAACTAGGTAACTGAGGAATCTTCAACACTTCACCGTGTTTAAGACAACTGTGTGAATGACTCTCAGGAGGGCATTGGGCTTTCCATTCCATACTTGGCACAGAATTAACTCAGTTAAGAATTAAAATGGATCAATCTGGCACAGATTGTGCAACAGCAAGCAAAGTGTGTGTTTGGGGGAAAGCACCAAGACTAATGGATATGTTCTGTGGACTGCGATGGGATTTCCCTGAATTTGTAATGCTCTAATAGTGGAAGGAATACAAAGGCAGGCACTGGCACACTTGCTAAGACTGTGCCTTCAAAGTGTAGAAAGGACATGCAGTGAATTCTTTCCCACAGTAGCAATGCCACTGGAGTAGGAACCACAAACACATTCTTCTCTGCCCCTTGGACTTGAGTGTGCTGCACCCTCGTGGACTTATGTGACAACATGAGAGTGGCAATGTGCCAAACATTCCGTAATGAACAATATTCTGTAAGCGTGTGAAGTTTGGGGATGTTTGAGAATGGCTTTTGTGTACAGAAAAGATTGTGGGGCTGGCCACTTCACTCGCTTAGGAGGTGAAAGGTCAAAGGTTTGGGTCCCCATAACAACCAATCGCAAAAAAAGATTATATGCAGTAACTCGAGGTATAAATTTTGTGCATACATATGTGTGTGTGTATTGTGCATTTTATATATACTCATGATACATTTTTAGCTCTTGTGTAACTTTTTTTATTTTGAAATAATTCAAACTTAAGAAAAATTGCAATAGTCTAAAGAACCCCCATATGCCCTTTAAACAGATTAACCAATTGTTCACATTTTGCCCCATTTGCTTATTATTCTCTCAATGGATGGATAATAGATTTGGTTTTCCTCCTGAACCATTTTGAGAACTTTAAGAGTAAGTTGCAGACATCATGTCCCTTTACACTTAAATACTTCATGTACATTTCCTAAGAACTAGAACATTCTCTTGCATAACCATAGTACAATTATCGAAATAAATTCAACATCATACAAAGCCAGAATCTACTCCACAGCCCATATTCAAATGTCAATTGTGCCAATGATGTCTTTTATCATTATATGTGTTTCCCTGGTCTAGGATCTAATTCACTATTTTATGACATTTAGTTGTCATGTCTCGTTAATCTCTTTTGATCTGGAAGAGTTTCTCTGCCTTTGTCTTCAAAGGCCTTGACATTTCTAAGAGCACAAGCCAGTTACTTTGTAGGATGTGCCTCAATTTGGATTTGTCTGATGTGTCCCCATGATAAGATTCAGAGTATGTATTTTTGGCAGGAACACCACACAAGCAATGATGTGTCCTCAGCACATCATACAGGAGCCACATAATGATCTGTCCCATTCTTGATGCCGTTAGCTTTGATCACTTGGTGAAGGTCATGTCTGCCAGGTTTCTCCTCTTGGTGAGCATTTTAAAACCTAATCTTTACATTCAACTTAGAAATCTTATTTTTATTTGTATAAATGTAGATGATTTGTATAAAATAAGAAGTCACTTTCAGTGAGTGGACTTACCCAAGTTAAGCAAGACAATTTTCTTGTTCTAAATTGCATTTATACATTTAAAGTGCTTGATTTTTAAGCCTTTCTAATGACTGATTGGGAAGACTTTCGACTTCAACCAACAAAACTTCCGCAAGTACCTAACACATAAATCTAAACAAATTAAACTTATAAACATAGTGAATTTCAAGTCCTCTGAAACATTCCGATACTATATACTGTAGGAACTGAGTTAAATTTTTTATATTATTCATTTTGAAATCACACGTGTAAAATTACACATTTTAAACTGGAACCTAAGACCAGTCTGTCTAATTTGTTAATATGCCAAATTGCCATAAACATTTTAAGCACTTTAAACAAACATAGATGATTCCTAAATTCAACATAAAAGTATTAAATGGGTTAGGGTTACTCCACCATCTCTTCATTTCATTCTAAAACTTCCTAGGTTTTTCAAGACATTTGGTAAGGCAGAGTTTCTCACTGGTGTCCTCCTAATGCGTCCCAGGAGTGCTGAGGTTTTTAAATCTTGCAGACATGGAGGTGGCCAGATGAGGCCTGTTACCCTCCGCCTCCTGCAGTTAACCAAGGATACCTTACAACTAATAATCAACTTCTCTGTGTGCTGTGACATGAAAACACTTGGGAAACACTGCACTGAGGGAATACTTTTACCATCACAAGAGTTGAGGTTACTGGTCCAACAATTTCTGTCCATACTAAAATTAAACATCCTAGGCACGTTGACAACTTTTATCAGCCAGAAGATTGTGACTGACATGGGTAACTCTTCTTATGCCACAGGAGGATAAACATTCAATCCCTTTTTAAAGTCAGTGCAACAGTTGGGGGACTCCAAGCCTATACTCTTCAGAAATGATTGATTTCACACCTAGCGTTCCTGGGTTTGATATGCCCCTTTACCGATGCGAGTAGCTGCAAGTCTCTATACTAGGGCTCCTATAAGTCCGAGATGGCCAGCCTCATTCAAGGTTTATGCCTCTTGTCTTGACATCGTTATTCATAGCACCCTTTCACTTTCAAAAATTCCCTGGTTAGTAGGCACATTAACTTCTTTCAGTCACCAGTGATTCTCAACAGAGGTGCTATCGGTATTTGGATTGGGATGGTTCTTCATTATGTATAACTGCCCCTCACTTTGTAGTTCTCCTAGTCATTGTGATAACAAAACTGCCTCAACACACTTCCAAATGCCTCCTAGAGAAGCAGTAGAGAATTACTGATTCTCTTTATTGCCTGAATACAGGTTGTATTCTTTTAATAGTCTCCCACACTGTCAGGCTCCAGGTCTTAAAGACGTTTTAATGGCATTATTTCTTGCATACTTTTCCTAATTTGTCCAGCCCTCTAGTCATTTCTCTAAAGTAATTTAATGGCACTACCTTAGCTGCAAACATTGACCATCTGATAAAAGCCAGCAAAAAAAGACATATGTTTTCCAAGGGTACAGAAAGTAGCTACCCTCATTAATTTGCATTCTGTTAAATGTAACATCCAGCCTCTTAGTGCATTTTCAGCTTTGTAGATGCTTGTAGTGGACACTGCGGCACCCTGGCCACATGCCTCTTGTCCCCAGGGCCAGCACATCCACACCCGAGCTACTGGGAATAGCAGCTGCTGATGGCTCACAGCTGTGTCCTTTCTGGGCCCTGCCTTCAGCCACAAGAAACTGTCTTACCCCAGGTAACACCAGCCCTCTGGGGGAACGGTTTGGACCAATGACTGGCTGATGTAGACAAACAAAACCAGATTCCCCTTGCCTGAATTTGGTACAACTGTGAAGAGCCATCCAAGCTCCAGAACACCCTGTGGGATCGACTGAGGTCTTAGTTGCAATCACATCACAGTGCAGCTTCTCCTCTGCCCCACCTGCCTTCCTTACCTCCTTCAGGTGTGGCTGTCACATGCACCCCTCAGTAAACCTTCTGCAGAGAGTACTCCATCTCAGAGGCTGCTTCCAGGGAGCCCAGTCTAAAACACTGCTGTGAGTTTCACTGGGAAACAGAGTTGTGAAACAAGAGAAGGGCAACATAAACCATTCGACCTCTGTCTCCATGCTGCTGCCTACTACAGCCAGACTGTCCCTTCATCTGCTGGTAGCCGCCAGCCCCACCTTCCTCACCCACTGCTGCATTCTTCGTCTTCAGGGTTTCATTAGAACAGTCATATTCCACACACCAGCACACTAACCTTCCTCCACACTAAGCTGAATCATCCTCC